CCACCTCCGCTCTAGACTGTGAACCGAGCAACGATTTTTAAAGCAAATGTTTATTCGCCTTTCATTTAGGCAGAGCTGGTGCGCGTTCGGGGCTCTGCATTTTGCGGAATCACGCTGGTAAGAAAACTCGTTTCGCACAGATTCCCACCTTCCCCTGTCGTGTCGGTGCTTTTGTGAAATAGCTGCAGTCACTGTAACTGCATAAAACTCCAGGGAGGAAGGGGGGGCTGCCTTAGATCTCAGACTTTCGTCCTGTTTCCCAGTGCTGTTTGAGCCTTTTGGTCTTTGTGTTCATGTTCTTCCTGTTACCATGATTTGAATGTGTCTTTTCAGCGTGTTTGTGGGTTTCCTAGGAGAAAAAAAAAAATCCCTCGGAGAAGATGATCAGGAAGGGGGCGAGAGGGTTAGTAAAATAAATGCATGTAAGAAGTAACAGATTTATTTCCGAACAGAGACTTGCTGCTTCGATGATTGCTAAAATGTAGCGTCACCTACCTGGGTAAGTGGGAAATAAACTTTAACGTTAAGGCTCTCCGCTCAACTTTGTTTATTCTAACGTCCCTAGTTCGCTTCTCCTTTTGACTTTGTGCCATTTAATCGCCTATGGCGTTTGAGTGCTCCTGCCCCTGCGCCCTGCGTGATGCCTGGCTCCTGTACCTATCCTCTCCATTCGGATCCCGGAGGGAAAAGAGGGAGGCTCCGGTAGGGTGGCAGGAGAGGGAGGACCTGGGCGAGCATGGGGCAGCCAGTGGGAAGAGAACCGGCGCGTGTGTGTGCGTGCGTGTGTGTGTGCGCGTGTGTTTGTGCGCAGCGGGGAGGGGGCAGGAATCCAGCTGCTCTCTCTCCCCCGTGAACACATGTGGGAAAACAAGTTGTTGCGGGTTCTGTGTGCGCGTGTGTGCATTCCTTGTTTAAAATGGTTATTTTGAATAAAGACGCATGCAGGCGAATGTAGTGAAATGTCTCTCTTTCATCGCGATGACATATTTGAGCGAAAAGCGGCCGGATACGTTGAGGTGGTTCAAAGCAACGGTCACAGCGTGCCTTTGTCATTTGGGGCGGTGAGTGAATGTGGGAGGGAGGGAAGGTTGCCACCTCTTTCCTTGGGGAGTCCAGAGGCACACAGGGGCAGAGCCGCGCCGCGCGGAATCGGCGCTGGGGAGTGAGTGACTGCTGCTCTCTCCGGAGGGCTACAGGGCTGCTCCGGCCCTGGCACCGGCCCCGGCCGCTCTCCCTGCCCCGCCAGAACACGAAAACCCTCCCCCGCCGGTGCTGGAGACACTCGGCTTTATATCTGCAGCATCAGCGAGAAAGCCCGGCTCGGCGCAGGCTCAGTGTTCACCGCCGCAGTCCCGGACGGAGGAGGGGGGCTCGGGAGCTCAGCATCTTCGCAGCGGGCTAAGTAGGATTAATACCAAATCCCTATTATATTTGCCAAGCAACTTGAATTTATCAAAATTCCCCCTCGCTGTTCTGGAGCTCCGAAAGGAGGAAATTTTGCCCACAGTGTATGATCCAGACATACCAGTACGTAGGAATACCAGCATACTGCATTACACTGGCTCCCTGCACTAGCAATACAATTGCAACCCGAAGCTCCCGCTGTTCCCTTCCCTTTGTGCTTTTAAACGCAGCCAGGAAACTTAATGTATTCGCCAGGGGAGGGGCGGGATGAAAGAGCTTTTAACCTCCCCGCCATAAACTTTAATCGGATTCTGGGCTGTTGCACGGCATGGACACCTCGCCTCTTGTCTGCCTCTCCTTCCCCGTTGTCTCCCATGTCTACTTCTACTACAGTCTGCTTTGCGAGAGCCTCTTTCAAGCGAATGAGTGATTTCTTTCTCTTGACATGTGCAATCGCTCCCCCCTTCCCTTCCTACCCTCGCTGGCCTCTCTTACACACACTATGCCTTTCACATGCGGCCTGCACCCCCCGGCCCCCCTCCCTTTCTTTCTTTTTTACAGTGTCTTCACATGCAATCTCTCTCTGAATGTGCAATGTCTTTCCTGCTCGGGAGTGCTGCGTCCTTCACAGTGGATTGGTTCCTCTTTCGGAGCAGAGGTAACAGCCCCCCCCTTTCCTATCTTTCCCCCTTCCTCCCCCTCCTCCTCCTTTCCTCCCCCAGGGCAGGCGGCCGGCGTGGGAAATGGGCCCGACGTGCGCTGCATGGTGGATGGCAGCACCGCTCCCGCCCCACGTGCCCCGGCTGCCGGGAGGGGGACGGGGCTGCGGTGGCCGTGTTCCCCCTCTCCGCATCCCGCTCCTTCGTGCGGGGGGAGAGGGGAATCACCCCCGCCCCTCCTCGCCGCCACCCCGGCACCACGGGCTGTCGGTCCCGAGGCCAGTGCGCGCACAGCTGTTTGGGTGTCGGTAGGAACAAGCCCAGCTGTTTCAGGCGGGGGAGGTTTGGCCCACTTGGTCAAATCTGTTGCGCAGTGTAACTCCCCCCTCTCCCTCCCCGGCTCCCCCCTCTCCCAGATGCACACAGACGCCCACACGCGCTCAGACACGACACGGCATTTGTCCTCCTGATCTGGCGAGATCAAGTGGGAAGCGGGATCACAAACGTAATCGGCTGTAATAAATAAAATAGCCCGAGATGCTGGAGATATACAGACGGGAAATAAGAGCTTGTGTCCTTAAAGGGAACATCTGATAAGGCCACCGAGGTGGCATCTTGCGTGTGGGAAGGAATCCGTCTTGCTGACATTCGCAGCCTGCTGTACGTGGGGAAATCCTAAAGCAGCCTGGGAGCTTCCCCAGCTCCTCTGCAAAGCCAGGGGCCATCGCTAAAATATGCAGAAGCAATTAATGGCTAGTTTATCTGCATTTCTTGGCGGAGCCCGGTTTCTGCCGCCGGCGTCCGAACTCGCGCCCGCAGCTGCCGCTTTCAGCCCACGACAATTTGTTTTTTGCAGTTTAGGAATGTCGGTGGCTCTCACTGGAAAATTACTTCTGGGATCTGCAGTGGGAATCCATCTCGGGTTAAAGAGAGACAGATTATTTACATAGCTATACCACTCTATACATTAACAAATATATATTACGTAGTACTATTTGTGCGCACACACGCGCGCACACAAATGAAGAAGCTTGCGAAGGAAAAAAAAATCAGGTAGGCTTGAAAGTAACATATTCATAATAATACGAGGAAAAGGTTAAATACAGTAAACATGACAGCAAATTCGAAA